TAAATAAGTTCATTTGTCTTTCTTTCTTTCTTTCTCTCTTTCTTTCTTTCTTTCTTTCTTTCTTTCTTTCTTTCTTTCTTTCTTTCTTTCTTTCTTTCTTTTTTAGATTCCACATATAAGTGATATCATATGATATTTTTCTTTCTCTTTCTGGCTTACTTCACTTAGAATGACATTCTCCAGGTCCATCTATGTTGCTGAAAATGGCATTATTTTATTATTTTTTATGGCTGAGTAGTATTCCATTGTATAAATAGACCACAACTTCTTTATCCAGTCATCTGTTGATGGACATTTAGGTTTTTCCTGAAACACCGTTCTTGCATAGCATTCTACTACATAGCTGAGAAGAACATCGGTTCAGCTAAGTAAGTTGCCAGGGGAGAACATGTACAAAGGATAGGCATTTCTTTTTAGTTAAGTACCCTGCATTTGTACTCTCTTCCTCTCACGGTTACTGTTTTTGATGTCCCATTTTACATTTGTTTGTATGTCTCTTAACTGCTTATTGTGGAAACTGATGATTTTACTAGTAATGTCTTTTACCCTTCCTACTAGATTGTGTGAGAATAGTTTCCTACCTTTACTGTATATTTGCCTTTACCAGTGAGATTTCCCATTTTGTAATTTTCTTGTTTCTAGTTGTGGTGTTTTCTGCCTAGAGAAGTTCCTTTAGCATCTGTTGTAAAACTGGTTTGGTGGTGCAGAATTTTTTTAGCTTCTATGTCTCTATAAAGCTCTTTATTTTTCCATCAAATTTTAATGAGAGCCTTGCTGGGTAGAGTGTTCTTGTTTGTACATTTTTTCCTTTCATTACTTTAAATATATTGTGCCACTCTCTTCTGGCCTGCAAAGTTTCTGCTGAAAAATCAGGTGATAGTCTTATGGGAGTGCCTTTGTATGTTATTTGTTACTTTTCCCTTGTTGGTTTCAATATTTTTCTTTATCTTTAATTTTTGTCATTTTGTTTGCAGTATGTCTTGGTGCGTTCCTCTTCAGTTTAATCCTGTATGGGACTCTCTGTGCTTCCTGGACTTGGGTGACTCTTTCCTTTCCTAGGTAATGGAAGTTTTCAGATATTATTGATTCAAATATTTTCTCAGGCCCTTTTTCTCTCTCTCTCCTCCTACTGGGACCCCTATAATGTGAATGTTAGCATGAATATTGATGAATATTAGTGAATATTGATGCTGTCCCAGAGGTCTCTTAAACTGTCTTCATTTCTTTTCATTCTGTTTTCTTTTTCAGTTCTGCAGTAGTGATTTCCACCACTCAGTCTTCTAGGTCACTGATCCATTCTTCTGTGTCATTTAGTCTACTATCAATTCCTTCTAGTGTATTTTTCATTTGAGTTACTGTATTCTTCATCTCCCATTGATTGTTCTTTATATTTTCTAACTCTTTGTTGAGAACTTCTAACTTCTTGCTCCGTGCATCCATTCTCCTCCCAAGTCCTTTGATCACCTTTGTGATCATGACTCTGAACTCTTTCTTGGATGGATTGCTTGTCTCCACTTCACTTAGTTCTTCTTCTTCAGTTTTATCCTGTTCCTTCATCTGAAACATATTCCTCTCCGGCCTCATTTTATCTAAGTTGCTCTTTGTATTTTTATGTATGTGGTAGGTTAGTTACATGTCTCAACCTTGAAGAAGCGGCCCCTTGTAGGAGACGTCCTGTGCATCCCAGCACTGCACTCTCCTCTTGTCACCAAGTCTGTCTGCTCTCATGTTTCCCCCTAAGAGGATTGTGTAGGTCCTTCAGTTGTGGGCTGACTATGTGGGCGGTCTGGTGGGCTTGACTGGCCCCTAGTCTGGTTGGTTGCAAGGACCTGCTTTGTGCAGATGCTCATGACTACTGTTTAGCAGGGCCTGGTCATGAAGTGGCTGGTTGCAGGACCCTAGTGCTACCAAAAACACAGATACTATGGTAACAAGGGTAACAGCATCAATGACCTTAAAGTCTCCTATATCTTGCAACAACCAATAAGAAAAATACAATGGAAAAAGCACCCACACAGAGGTTTATGCATTTTTTTTAAGTCCTGAAAGGAAATACAACTAAATATTAACTGTGGTTACTCCCAGTTTGTAGAATATGGCGTGATTTTTTTAAAAAATATTTTGCATAGTCTTCATACTTTCCATGATGAACATGCAGTATTTTAATGGCTAGGTAAAGTGTTACTTTCCGAAAGGAGTGACTAACAGGAGACAGTTGAAATTCGTAAATGAGATCATTGGTTTGGAACTCATACAGGTATGGAAAGTAGGCTGAAGAACTGAAAGAACCCTCCAGATTTTCAGGGTTTTCCAGCTCACAGTGAGCTCATGCCTGTTCCCAAATGGGATGGAACAGGGGAGGAGGCAGATGTCACAAGTGAAGCCAATGTCCCAAATGGGACAACTCTGCCCACTCGTTCTGACAACATAGATGCTACTTTATGCTTCTGGACCAGCAAAATATCACATGGTGTGTTCAGGCCTCCCTCTTGGAGCCTGGCCTTAACTGTGGCCATTGGCAATGTTGAATTTTACTCAAGTCCTGTGTTCCTGGAAAACAGTATTAGTAAAGAAATCCTCCTGCCTTTTTGTGTTTGGGAAACAAAAGGTGCTTGCAGTAAGATTTAGACAGGACTCACGGTTGCCCCCCCTTCTCCCCTGTTTACCTAAGGGCCGAAACAGAACCTTCAGTTTCCCATTCTTTGCCTCATAAACAATTGGCTGAACTGCTTGCTTCCACTGATCAATTGGAACAAAATGCTTGTTGACCAAATTTGGGTTAAGATTCTCTCCTTTCCCCAGGTCCCTGAGCTTTGGCCCACCCCCAGCCTGAGCCAGCACACAGCCCATCCTCAACAGCCCCTCCTGAGAATTGGCTGGCAAGATGGTAAAATAATCTACAGTCTAGCTGTCCCCCTCCGTCTCTTGCCCCCTGTGGTTCTTTCTAGCTTGCTTACTCCTCCCTGTAAAAGATAACTCCTTTTTGCCTAAATCCTGAGACACATGCAGATCTTATGGTCAAAGGTAACCCCTACTGCAATAGTTCCTTTCCCCTCCTTTACAATAACCCTGTTGAATGAGATCTCTCCTTACGAAGTACAGATTTGTTTTTGATGTGACCACTCCACATAAATACAAAAGAAAAATAAAATGAAAGTTAAACATCCAAATTCCACTAGGGTGTAGGGATGGGAGTCCGTAGGAACATCCACCCACAGAAAGAAGCTTTAGAACTCAAACTTTAGTTGAAAATAAGGCACCAAATGGATGGAACCAATAGCAGCAACCACCCAAGGTGGAGAGATGTGGGACTGTGGTATGAAAAGTGCCACATTGCAAGCCAAAGAGAAAAGGGTGCCAGATCCAAAGGCCTGACTCCAAGTATTGCTGGGAAAGACTTGTAAGCATGCAAAATAAAAAGATCCATTCTATATGCTTAAATCTGGAAAAAAAATAATTTTTTCTTTATTGCATTTGAATGATACATGTAGAGAAAAGGTGTCCTAGGAGACAAGCTTTGTTGTTGCAAAATCTGTGTCTGATTTCCTTGGTTTGCCAGTTTTCTTAAAAGAACATTTTTTTCCCTGTGGTTTAGTTCCAACCCCACATTTTCAAGCTCATGTTGCTCTGGGGAACAAACAAAAGACTCTGATTTTGTTTGACAATTTATGCAGAGCAGAATGTCAGTTTTCTGAAAAAAACTAATGTTCCACCTGTAGGAGGAGTATTAAAAGGCAATTAACCATTAAGCAAAAACAGGCTGATAGTTATGCTTATTAAGGATAATTACAGCACTTAACCTCGAGGGCAAAAATTGGTCAAGTGGGTAATTGAATCTGGCAGACATCAAAATTATATTTAAATACTTCAGAAAGGAGACAAAGCACACAGAGATGGTTGCGGGATGAGCTCAAAAACTTTTGAACACCTTTCCAAGGCTTGTAAATATTTCCTTTAATTCTCATTTCTCTCGCTACTTTGAGTCAATTTCATCTGTAGATTGTGCCTTTTGGGGAAACTGAGGACTGTTTTCACTCAAGTATGTTATAGTCACTTCATCCACTGACTGTCTGAATTCCACAGCCACTCAGATTTAGAGAGTTTTTCCTATGAATTAGCAAAGTGGGGCAGAACTGAGTGACTGCAGGTCTCTGGATTATAGAGCTAAGTGATTCTGAAAAATTGATCAAATAAAGGACTCGGTACTCATCTTAGTCCTGAATGAATTGCAGATAAGACTAATTCATTAGAGTCAGAATCTGCTGAATGCTTACTGTCAGACACTTTGCTGGTCACTTCATGAACTCTCTTAAAATTAAATTCATATCAAACCCTTTGAAGTCGGTAACCACTACCCTCACGTGAAAGAAAGCTAAATCGAATATCAAAATATTTTAACTGCTGCCTAAGGTCATTCAGACAAATTCAGGGCAAGTGGATCCTGTTACTTTCCGCCGTATTAATTTCGTGTTTTCTGTGAATAATTTCTGGAGACTTACTTGATGAAAGCTACAGGCTGATGGCGTTTTCTTTCCACCCACTTGGGCATATGCTGACATGAGGGACTCTGTAAGATATGCCATCCTCCCCCAGGGAGCACCTGTCCTGTGTGTCTGCAGAGAAAAGTGAGATGCGGGCTTAGCAACTGCCTCATTCACTTAAGTCTGGGTTTGGAGCCTGATTAGAAATTTCTCCTGGGTTTGGAGCCTAAGACCTTTGCAGGCATGATGATGTTTCCCGAGCTTGGGATGTGTGATGTAGGCAGGTCAACTAAGCTTGGGTCGGCTACCCTTTGGGATCTTGGCCTTGACCTCCTTGGGTTTTACAAGCCTTGATAGACTTGGACGTGCACTCATGGCTTTGGCATTGCTGGCCTGCATCTTCTTTAGGTCCCTCTTATGCTTCTCGGCAAAGTGCACGTTCCTCAGGAACTTGGGGTCACCCCCTTAAGAGATTTATACCTTTGTGATCAGGGTTTCTTGATACCATTTCTCTTCCAGTTTTGGGAATGACTGCGCATGGTGTGGTTTTGGAGTTGGCCACGTCTGCACTGAAGCCCACGGATCTCACAGTTGCTGGGACTGGGAGGGGAAGAGCCATCTTGCTGATGGTATGTACTATGCCTTAAATATTTCCCAGAGAAATCTGAGCATGTAAATAAAGTGACAGGCTCTAAAGCACTGCCTGTGTCCAGGAGCAGCCTCACTAAAGTTCAGTGTACTTTTATTTATTTTGATAGAGAGTAACTAATCCAATTCTTGGCCCTAATTCCATTTTAAGGTCATCTCAGGGCACTAGTATATACATTGTCATCAGAAGCTGAAGCTTGTTCCTGCTGTGGCAACCTGAGTGAGGTTGGTGGTGAGACGTGAGCTACAGACCGGGCCCATCGTGCCACGTGGCTTGCATCAGCGTCTGCACACATGAACACACCACTGTAGAAACCCTAAGTAAGGGCTGCAGGCCAGCACCTCTCAAGCTTCGATATACATCTCAGTCTTCTGGGAATTGGATAAAAGCGTGTAGGGGATCAGAATATGCCACCCCAAAAGATGCCACTTTGGCATAAGGCTTGTTCTGAGCTGAAGATAAGATGTCAAACAAGCTGGCTGCCCTTCCTCCTCTATTTGCCTGAGAGCAGGGTGTACATTTCCATGTGTTTGATGTCTCCCTCTCTCAGCAGGAAGGGCCAGCTCTAGACTCTTACCAGCCCAGAAACAGTACCAAGAGGGATCTGCATAACAAAATTTACTAAAACTGCCCATATCTCCCATTATTCCCCTTCCCCCATGGTTACCTTCCCACAATTTGTCACCCCTAGAAGCCTAACTCCCTTTTCCTTTGTCTTGTCACTTCTGTACACATTTATTGCTCCTTGTTAAGATGCTATTATAAGCCCCAAGTTATAACTACCCCCTTGAGTCATTCATTACTGAGTTTCTCCTGCAGGTTAGCATAATGTGTATGTTAATAAAGTCTGTTTTTCTGACCTAATTTGTCTTTTGTCAGTTTAATTTCCAGGGCCTCAGTCATAGAGTCTAAGAGGGTGGAGAAAATAATTTTTTCCTCCCCTACAAATACAAATTCTGGTGCAGTAGGGTTGAGGTGGAGCCTAAGAGTCTATTTACTCTAAACCCTGTTCACAAAATAGACTCTAATAAGCTTTCAGGTGATGCTGATGCCACTGGTCCAAGGACCGTAATTTGAATAGTGAGGATACAGGAGGTGCCTGCAGGACTACACACCCAGCCCTTCTGGATTTCTTAAATGTACCTTAATCTCAGCTGACTGACTCTACTAATCTGAGAGAAATGACAGACAGCAGGGCTAATCTGAGCGCCCACCTAGATTTCTGAAAGTCTGTTTTGGATTAGAAGGGACGGGTTTATTTGTGAGAATTACATAACTTTCCCATCTTGTCTACTTAAAACTGAGGACCAGATTTCTTCTTGGTTTCTCTGATTAGTTTTGCAGCAGCAGTATTTGCTTCCTCTCTTCCTTTGAGAAATCACATGCTTGACACTGAATCTTTTTCGGCAGAGCACTGTTAACCCGTTTCCCTGGAGGATCTTCCAGCTAAGAACAGCTTGGCAGTGGGGTGGGGACGACTGTGAGGATTAGCTCATTAATTATGCAGAGAGATGCAGGCTGTATATGATGACTGGCGAAGCACTGGATAAAAGAGTGACACAAGATATCTTTCAGTGACAAGCTTTGGGACTAGAGGCTCTGTTTCTAGAGGCAAGATTGACTCAGGAAGCCCAGAGCCCCAAGAAATGTCGGCCTGAGATAGGAGGGAGCGGTGGCCGCTCCACCTCCCCATCTCGTCTCAGACCCACTGGCCCCCACTTTGTCCTGAGAGGGCGTGGAATTTCCTCTGTTCCCCTCCTGCAGTCTCACCCTGTTAAAGCAGCTTTGCTCCAGGAGGATTTGTAAGTTAATCAGTTACAGCATCACCATGGCAACATATTTATGTCTCTCAAAGGCCATAAGCCCAGGGGGCCAGGATTTGAAACACAGCTTTACCCAGTGCCCTAGATAGCGACTAAGGAAGTATTGTGTTGTAGAAGACACAGGGCACACTGGTTGGCTCCAGGGCAAAGGAGGCTGTGGACCTAATGTCCCTTTCTCCTTCTTTAGGAGAGGCTGAAATTTCATTAAAGAATTGGGGACTAGCATATGGTGGTTCTATTTTTAGGTTTTTGAGAAACCTCCATATTGTCTTCCATGTGGGCGCACGAGTTTACATTCTCACCAACAGTGTACAAGGGCTCGCTTTTCTCCACATCCTTGCCAGCATTTGTTATTTGTGTTCTTTTTGATGATGGCCATTCTGACAGGTGTGAGATGGTGTCTCATTATGATTTGGATTTGCATTTGCCTGGTATCGGTGATGTTGAGCAACTTTTCATGTTCCTGTGGGCCATCTGCATTTCCTCTTTTGGAAAAATGTCTGTTCAGGTCTTCTGCCCATATTTTAAATGGGTTGGTTGGCTGTTTGGTTTTTAATTGAAGCAAAGTTGACTTTGAATGTTGTCTTAGACTCTGGTGTCCAGCATGGATGGACTTGGAGGGCATTATGCTAAGTGAAATAAGTCAGAGAAAGAC